AATGTAGTTTAAGTCAATGTGGATTTGAAAATGCATTCCGAGCCGATCACGCCCCCAACCTGTCAATCATTATATCAAGGCGGGGCTCGGCAACAAAACGCACAATAGGTCAATATTCCACAATAACCAAGCGCTTTTCACCTGCCTCAACATCTCTCACTGTTTTACACTCCGATTGATGCACATAAGCAAACAGACAATTCTACACTTTTACCTATTTGCTACCATACTTTATTCTTCTCCTATAATGGACTGCGTGTCCCCGAGCACCTAAGCGTTGCAGGCATTGCACATCTCACTCTGCACACCGAGTGATGCACGTAAGCAAATTCTACACTTATTTGCCACCTTACATAAAATTTTATTCCTCTCTTTTAATCTGTAACATAGCGTGTGTTCCGTGGCACCTAAACGTCACGCGCCTGCCACAAGAGCTGATCCTGGTAGAGTAGACTACAATGCCGGCTGTTCTGACTCACAGTCTGTAAGCACGTTTTTTATATATAAAGAATTTGCCACTGACTATTCAAACGCGTGTTTTGAGCAGTGTAGAGTAGCACCGGACACCGCGATTGATGTCCGTGATTTTTAATATTAAGTTATCTCACTTTGGTTGTGGCATGTTCTGTGACAGCTGTCTAGATCGGACTGGTGAAGTGTCATCCGGGGCAGGCAGGAGAAGCAGCATTTTCTGTATGGTCACGGGCATCAACCGGAGTGTAAACCGACTGAGGGATCTTAAAGGGGTCATATGATGCGATTTGAAATTTTCCTTTCTCTTTGGAGTGTTACAAGCTCTTGGTGCATAAATCACAACGCACTGGATAGCTGGCCAATCACAGCACACCTTGCTTTTCAGACCGATGAGCTTTGTAAAAATCGACACGTTTCAGAAAGGCGGGGCATAGAGGAGTATGTGAAAAATAATGTGTTTTTTGAACCTTAAACCGCATAAACACATTTCATTACACCAAATACACACAATAATGTTCTTTTTAGCAACATCATATGACCCCTTTAAGGCATGCATGATGCTTAGGTGCCATGGGACGTGTACTCCATTATGGGTTAGAAGAGAGGAAGGCAACACCGTGTCTACACCGGACGCGAGAGGCGCGACAAACGACAGTATTGAACCCATTATAATCAGCGATGCTGTCTACACTGGATGCGGCACGATGCGACATGACAACTGTCGCGTCCGGTGTAGCCACGGTGTAAGTTGGCAAATAAATAAGTGTATTGACCTATTGTGCGTCTTGTTGCCAAGCCCCGCCTTGATATAATGATTGATAGGTTGGGGGCGTGATCGGCTCGAAATGCATTTTCGAATCCACATTGACTGGTCTACACTGATCGCAGGGTATTTAATGAAAATGCAATACGAACCTCTTAAGTGTAAGTGTCAATGCATTTAAGAAAAATTTAAATCACCATTTTTGCTACCATTTTGCTGCACATTTGGCTCAGAATGCATTTTGAAATTCACACTGAATTTTGCTACAATTATCACGCTGTATCACGCTGAAAATGCAATCCCATGTGTCCTACCCGTAAGTCTAAATGCATTTAGGAAAAATGGCATTTAAATTATAATTTTGCTACAGTTTTTGCTTGGACATGTTAAACACATCTAATCAATTTGGGTAATACAATTTCATTTTAATTTTGCAACTTATAAAGCATTAAAATATGTTTTTAATTTACATATTAAAACTAGCGTAGGAAATGGCAAATGTAAATTACATAATTGAATTTTCATTTTCATTTTGCACTAAATGTTGCACATATGTATGGGAAATATCAATTTAAACACATTGTAAATATAAATACAGAAACACATTGCCATTTTACATATTGCATTGTCATTTTTCATATTACATTTCAAAATGAATTTTGCTACCCAAATGCTTCCATACTATACGGTTAGAGTTAGGATTAGGGTTTGGTTTAGGGTTACTTGCATGTAATTATGCATAATTTATTGTTACTATAATAATAAGTACATGTAACGTGTAACAAGGGCACAGTAAAATAAAGTGTTACCAGTATTATAAATATTATTTTTGTGGCCATTCATAGAGCATGTTAAGACCCTGGAATGATGTGCTTCACTACCTGCATATGTATATAAACATACATATTTAATAAGGTTTTCAATCCATATAGTATTATGTTGGGGACTCCATGGAAAGGTCAGTAGTGCTTGTACAACTGTGATCTCAGTGGGTTAATACATCTCTCAATTTGTTCTTTCTAACATGCACAGCATTCTGGACTGCTGCCAGGCATGCAAGCACTTACCATCTCCAATAATAGCCAAAATGGCCAGATCCACCGGGCGCTTCCAGGCAGACCCTTTCTGCAGCGCAATGCCATAGCCAGTGGTAGCAAAGATGTAGCCACTGCCAATGGTCACTAGTTTACAACCCTCATCCCTACCGGCCATGTAGTTCAGCACAGCTGCGTCATATATGAAGGCATCAAGTTTGCTGGTGAAAAGAAAGAGCACAGACACTATTCAGATGGCAAATAGAGAGGTTAAATGTTATGAGTCATTCTCATGCCTTAACACCACTGCCATGTCACCAAAAGCCTCAAATGAATCATAACACATTTTAACTTTACAGCAATGATGCAGACGCAGAGACACGAGCTTAAGGTGAGAGACAGCACTGGGTGTGATCACACCAGAAGCAACAGAGAGAAAAAAAGAGCAATAAAAGCTATTTGATTGACTTCAGCCTAATGTTTAATGCAAGGGGTTGTCAAAATGGTGTCTGCAAAAGGGAGCAGAAAATCTGATTTTTTTTAATTTTTTTTATTTACAAAATGCATTTCAATAGTAAGAAATAAAAAGGGCACATACTTTACAGAATTGTTTGTTTATATAAGCCTACATCTTGCCATTTTTATCTTTAATTTTCTCATTGGTGCTTGTGAGGCACAATTCTCTGTAATGTTCTTCTTTGGAATAATATTTGTTCTGAGAAGTGAAGTAAATTTGAATAAAAAATTCATCATATTAAGTAGAAACACAATATGCACAATATTAACTATATAAATATATAAACTACATAATAATTTTAGTCCAGATGGTTTTTATTTTATTTTATTTTA